TAAATGCAGAGGAAGCCCACGAACACAATAACATCATCGCCCAAGCCTGCATGACGCCTAGAGTTTGGACGAATGGAGTGTCTCACTGTCGCTCAGAGCGACAACCTCGTTTTCGCTCGAACCTTCGAGTCGCCCAGAATCTTAATACATGAGATATTATGGTCATCCAAAATAACAGTTACTGAAACAGTTATCGAGCCAATTATCACATTCCATGATTTAAAGAGCCCATTTGAAGGCATTTGAACAACAAGGAGAAATGACAGCAATTAGAGATGGCAATTCCACGACAAGTTAGCCACCATGAAGAAAATAGGTAGCAGTTTTCAAGCGGTTTGTCACGAAAAAATCATCATGGGAATATAAAAGGAAAGAATAGACATAGAGAAAGCCCCCGAATCAAACACTCTCAAACAAAGAATATGTAATTTCAATTTTTTAGATTAACTTTAATTATTCTTTTTCAGTACTCGTGTGCTTGTGCCCCTTAAAGGCATTCTGTTTAGTTCTAATTGTAACTCTCATCAATAAAGCACCCCTTTTTGGGACTTTATCTCCAGAGATTTGTCCCTTACACAATCGTCTGAATTTTTTTTTTAATTGTTAACAACTACCCGTGCAAAACAGGTGATGCTAAACGTACATAATGAAATGTCCATAACGGTGTTCACCCCCTCACATGGAGGGGAACTCACTTCGAATAAAATATAATATATCCAAAGTGGGTCCCCCTCCATGTGAGGGGGTGAACACTGTTATGAATATGACATTATGTACAAATAGCATATTCCAAAAGGCTTAATGGTAATTATGATTGAGAATGAGATTAACTAGGAAACTTTATTTGAAGTCCTAAATTATCATTATAAGAAAACTTTGTACATTGTCTTTCCTTATGGAGAAAGGAAAATAAAAAGGAGAGTGCCATTAAGATTGTCTTCCCTTGCGGCAGAAGGCAAAGAAAAGGAGAGTCTCGCTAGGTCTTCTATCGATGCCTCAATTCCTATATGTATGGGATGAATAGACAAGAGATTGGGGGTGTGAGAGACACCCATTAGCCCCAAAATTGTGAGAAACCCAAAAGAAATAATGTAGAAATTCGCAATATCTAAGCATCCTAGCAGTTGTTATCAAACGATGATATATTAGCGCTTCTAGACCAATCTTCGTGAAATTTGGACAAAAAATTCACTAATCATTATTCTAAAAATCTTGCGGATAGGATCGTGATCCGATGGTTTATCTGAGAGGAATTATTGTCTGAACATTAGCAAATTTTCGTGACATCATCCCTTTATTGGTTTTTAAGTAGTATTTCAAGAATAGATTTTTTTTTTTTAAGGTTGTATTTGGATAAATTGTTATAGTTTCTACTTTCTATTGAGGGATTCCATCTTTGATAAGGAAAGATTTATCAATTTATGGTTTTGCCAAGAATTGGTTGAATTCTTGTTATTCGTTGTGACTCGACTATTGACTAGATAGACTGAGTTTTGATCTTTGTTAGATGATAGTTTTGCCACGATATGTGGTTTTGATGTAATATTGGTTAATCTCGTATTTTATCTACCGAAAAAAATGTTGTTACTATTTATTGTTGATTACTTGATTATAAGAGAAAATTATTCAGAGTCGGGCCACGGATGTAATATTGCTGAACCTCGTTAATGTGTAATTTATTTCTTATATTATTTATTTGATTATTGCTCGATTTGATTATTTTCTATTAAATTTACACACTAAAGGAAAAATTGTTTATTCCATTGCATTGTTGCTAGATATCATATAAGATATTTGCCTAATTTCCCCAACATATCAATCCTCAAACTATGTTAATCAAACAATTGAAGGAAACAATACCCTAATGAATAAAAAATTGATAAGTTCACCAAATTCTCGAATGAATAACGAATTCCTTCCCATACCCTGATACCACAAAACAATAAAAAAAAAAAAAAAATTGGACAAATGAATGACCAGTGTATCTACCTAAACTCTTTTCTCAGAATCTTGTGTATTGAATCAATCTTCTCATCAGCAGCTTTTCGTTTTCGTTCATTCGAAGTAATGGAAGAAACAGAAAGAGGAGAGGGCAGCTGAAAATCCATGAATTGGATTGAGGAATTGTAGAGGTAGGTGACATCCCTTAGAGGCGACCTTAACCTCCTCTTTGTACAACATTGGAGTTTCCGAGCACCTGGGCTGTTTTCATTTGGAGACTTTGGTGGGATATTCTCTTTATTATCATCATTTTCAGACTGAGAAATTCTCAACTCCATTTGTGATGAATGAGAGGTTGAATTGGGGTTTGAGATGGTTTCTTGAGTTATTTGTAGGTGGAAATTTGGAGGGATAATTTAGAAATGAATTTCAATTACGTTTCCTCTGTTTCTTTCAAGTTCAGCAGTTTTGTTTAAAAAATTTCAGTCTAGGAGGGAAATTCGTTTTCCTTCAATTTGATGTTTAGAATGCTGAAATCTGAATTCACTACAAATTCTTGAATAATGGTGGGAGGGGGAAAAGTAGAGGGGGGAAAACTTAAAACCGAAACTTCTGATTGGAGGGAGGGTAAAAAGAGGAAAAATGGATTTGACTTTTGACTTGGCATGGCATCTTACATTAAGCACCCATTTAACAATCATTTTTCAAAATTTTTAATTTTCACTCATTTTCAATTATATATTTATGCAATAAAATATTTTACACGTAAATTCAAAAAAAATTCCTACCTTTTAACCCCACATTCTTAAAAAAATCACAATGCAAAATTTCATTTTCTCAAAATAATGACCATCAAATATGGACTAAGTACACGGGATTCAATCTTAAAAAGTTAATCTGATTAGTAGTCCGAGTTGTTATATGTTGATTCTATTATTTGATCGGAAATTTATTTTTTGAATATACTCCACAAAATGGTGTCTCGTTTGGGGAAAAAAAGGGGGTTGATCAAAAGATGATTTTATAACATGCTCTTCGGATCGAAGAAATTACTTCGAAATTACTTTTTGATTAACATAATATTTTTTTTTTTAGTCAAAACAAGTTAGTATTTTAATTTCAAAGTAATTTCTTTTGTTGTGACAAATATGATGAATGAACTTTATTAGGAAATAAAAGAAACAATACACGTTCTCAAGTAAGTTCGTCATAAAAGTTGCTGGCAAAAAAATCCTCAAGAACGAGAAAGTCGATCAAAAATTATAATGGGCTTTTGTCATAAATAAAAAATCTAAATTGAAGGTGAAAGGGTTTTTAATTTATTAACCAAAAAAATTACATCTTTATTAATAACAAATTAATTATTAAACAAAACTATTAAATATAAACCAGGCAAACGTGCATTGCACGTTGTTTGCACCTAGCGTGTATATATATATTATTATTATTATTATTATTATTTTTATTATTAAGATGCTTGAAATGCATCTTTTCAAAAAATTAGTTGATGAAACATAACTATCATCTAAATCGTGATAATTTTCTGTATGTGTATTAAATACCCTTTGAATAATCTTTTCATCATTATGTTATTACTCCTTCATATCATTTATTAGAAATGACTTCTTTGTAATCCATTGATACATTATTAAATTATTCATTTAATGGAAATTAATAATCAATCTATAGTAATATGTTTCTTGATTCCAATATTATTATTTTCTAGTTATACAATAATAATAATAATAATAATGAAATGGACATGCCGCATGACTTATTCGATACGCGTTGGGGTCTTGTCATGTCATGTCATTGTAATGCCCTCACCGACGTCAAAGACACGTTAACCCTTCCTCGACCTCATGCTTAGGTATATATTATGGTGTTCGGTCAATTTAATAATTCCAATATTATTATTTTTTTAACATGTAATGCATAAAAATGCATTTTCTGTTATTCGGAGGACAAGTACACTGTAAGTGTAGCAGTTCTCGCAAGAATATTGTTAAGGTAAAACCTTGAAATCTTTCTCATTTTTTATTGTTCTCAAAAAATTTGTACCAAAAGCCACAAAAGCCGCAACATCCGGCGTTTCGGCTTTCGCTTTCTTCATCAGCAGAATTCACCTCCTCGCCCACATCGGAGGGCGCGCGCGCTTAATTCTATACACCTCACACACACCGCATAAAAATCTCTTATTAATTTTCTTTTTCACATATTTTCTCTTCTCTCAATATAAAGTTCCTTTTGCAATTTTTCATTTTTAGTTTTTATTCTCCAAATTTCGGCACAGTTTTATCGATTCGTTTCTCTTGTAAGTATCTCTCTTTTAATTTGTACATTTTTTTTTCTATGCATTACATGTTGTGGGTTTCGAATTTTAGAAACCCTTACTTGAATTTCCTCTATATTAGGATTTTTTTCTGCTCGCGGAATTTTAGATCTGTAGCTGAAGGAGTTATGCATTTTTAATTACGAGGAAATGATATTTTAGTTGTCAAGATTTAAGCTTTATGCGAAAGGGGTGGAGGCTAGTTACAGAATTGGGGATTTTTGGAAGAATCAATTTTTTTTTTGGATTTAGTTTGTAATTTTGATATTTTACGTTTGTTGCTATTCTAAAATTAGCTATCTGTTATTTTCATTTTTATATTTGTTCTCGTTGTCTTGAACAATTCTTAAAGGATGAATACTTTGTCACTTGTAGAATAAGGATATATTTGTGTTCAATTTAGAACATCACGACTTAATTATGTATTCGCTGGGTATCTTCAGTTTTGATACTGGTATAGTTATGAAAATCTGTTTTAATCTACCTTAGTTGTTAAACATGCTATAATACCCGCATTTTTCAGACCTGTCGGTTCCTTCTCAATGGTAGATGCATTTTTGGCAGCCCTTCTGCTAATGACTGACTGAATTTGGAGGATGAAAAATCTGTCACTTCTTACCAGTGATTTTTGATATACTCTGGAGAATGTATTTACAGCATTATATACATGCCCTTATGTATACATGCTGTTTTATTTCTCATCTATTATATTTATACTTTCAGGAATATGGATGGATCACGCCAAGATGGTAGTGTGGATTCATTCTTGCGAAACTATAAGCTTGGGAAGACTCTTGGCATCGGTTCATTTGGTAAAGTTAAAATTGCCGAACATACATTGACAAGGCACAAAGTTGCTGTCAAGATCCTTAACCGTAAGAAAATAAAGAATATGGATATGGAAGAAAAAGGTTGGTCAATCAATCTTAATGTAACATATGTTATAATCTATTGTCTGCAACCTATTCTTGCATCTCTTTAGGGGAAATATGGTCCTTCATTACCGGATGTTTTGCTGTCCAGTATTTGATGCTCTGCGATGAGAATCAAACTACAGTAATTGTTGGACCATGCAAAACTGAATTTGTTTTATCCTCTTTTTTATGTGAGCAGATTTTACTGCAAGCCTATTTCTTGTCTTCACAGCATTTGGATACATTCAATTATTTTTCCCCATAAATAAGTTTATTGCATCATAATCTACATATTAGTTGTGTAAAACTTGTACTCTAGTTCCATTTGATGCTGAATGTGCCCAATTATTTCCAAAAATCTGATAGTCTGTGATTTACAGTACCTGTTTTCGTTTTATTTTAATTTTCATCCTTTTATATTTGTTTAGTTTTGTGTCCCAACAATTTAATCTGAACTTATTCTAAAGCTGACTTTACGTACATTTCCTGAAATTGATGTAAGTTGCTGTTTTTATGGTTCAAGTTCCATAGCCTTTTAATTATTTCATTAACAGAGAATTCATTGAAATGCTTCTTCCTAATTTAGTCATCCTTAAAAGGCTTTACTATTTTGGTCATGTTATTTTGATCAATTTCAATTCTAAAAATGCGGACCCAAATGGAGCGCTCTTATTTACTGAACCTTATTGGATGACTTCAAGAGTGGTTGTCTTCTTGCAGTTCGAAGAGAGATCAAAATTTTGAGATTGTTTATGCATCCCCACATCATACGTCTGTATGAGGTTGTAGAGACACATTCAGATATATACGTTGTGATGGAATATGTGAAATCTGGTGAGTTGTTTGATTACATTGTGGAAAAGGGTAGGTTACAGGAGGAAGAGGCACGCAATTTCTTTCAGCAGGTAGGGTGATTGATATTCCAATCTTGTCCATCTAAAGTGATTACCTTGATTCTTCTGTTTGGAATTACAGATTTTAAATGTTTACGGGGGTGATTGCAGATAATCTCTGGAGTGGAGTACTGCCACAGGAATATGGTTGTCCATAGAGATCTGAAGCCCGAGAACCTGCTTCTAGATTCTAAGAGAAATGTGAAGATTGCNGTTATATTGAGACATATTTTTGGCATAGAAAGTGATCGAATTGGAGAATGATGTCTGAATCAAAGTTGTAGCCAGATGAGTTAGCTTTTCAACACATTTTGAATCGCCTCAATCGGAAATCGAAATACAAAGTTATGATAAAAACACTGAAAGAAGGTGCAGCTGCCTGTTTAAAACAAAAAATTTCGTTACATAGTTCGTTATATTGAGACCTATTTTTGATTCATAGAAAGAGATCCAATTGGAGAATGATGTCTGAATCAAAGTTGTATCCAAATGAGTTAGCTTTCCTAACGCATTTTGAATCGTCTCAATCGGACATCGAAATACAAAGTTATGATAAAAACACTGAAAGAAGGTGCAGCTGCCTGTTTAAAACAAAAAATTTCGTTACATAATCCGTTATATTGAGACATATTTTTGACATAGAAAGTAAATTCAAAAGAAAAGAAGAAAAAGTTATATTTCACACTACCATATTTAATTTTATTTCTTGGTTGCAAATGCGAGTTCTTGTTCAAATACATAGAAGTACCTCCTAAAAATGAACAGAGAAGATCTGATCCTTTGTCCATATTGACACCTTAGACTATTCTACCAAAATATTTTTAAAAAACTTCCAATGAAATTTCCTAGAATATTAATGACTTGTTGACCTTTGCCAAATAGTTTTCAAGACGTTTTGAGTTTTTCAAAATATTAAGGTCTGTTATTTCTAAAAATGTATTTTTGAAAATAAGGATGAATTTATATCATAAAACTCAAAACACATTTTTATCATTTTGAATATTTTCAGTGAAAATTCTGAAATACTCAAAATATGAAAAACGGGTATTTAAATAAAATTTAAATTGAATTGAATTATAAAATCAAAGTTTTAAAAATAAAATCTAACTAATAAAATTTAAAAATTTTAAATTTAAAAAACAATCACAAAATAAAATTGATAAATTCTAAAAAATTAAAAGATACAAATTCTGAAAAATAAAATTCAAAATATAAAAAATAAAAATAATTCAAACTCTTAATGATTATTTACATAAAAACTATAAAAAAATATTTAAATAAACATAAATAAAATATTCTCAGTCCAAGTCAATAATTTTATTTTTATTTCATATATTTTGAGCTCAATTTATTATTATTTTACTTTACATTTGAAGCGAGAAAAAATATTATAAGATTCATAAACTTTAAAATGTATATATTACTCGACAATATATTAATATAAAATTGTTATGTTTTTATTGAATAATCAAATTTCATGAAATAAAACGCCATAAAACAAATTTTCAAAATTTTAAATCAAACTTATTTTTTAATTTTTTATTTTGAGAAATAATTTTTCAAGATGACAAACGAAACACGTTTTTAGCAATCCTGACACTCAAAAAGAGAAAACTGACTTGTATGACTTTCATATGCCCATGCATTTTATACATAAGTGTATCACAATATGAATTACTGGTGTTCATTTTCAATTAGTACGTGTTTGATGTGACATAAAGTTTACTAGGATAATAATTTATTAATTTTATTTGTAGGCTCCATTATTTGTACTATCTTTATAGACACTTGTTGAATTATCAACAAAATAAAATAATTTTGGTAGAGAATATTTTTCAACTAGAAAATATTTTTCTGCCTCTGTCGAAAAGACATCCAGTTGAAAAATGTTGTCTTTATAAATTGAAAGAAACTCATCTTTTATGAATAAAAATGTGATAAATGCACTAAATTCTCAAAGGAACAATGGATTCATCTGCCTCTTCTCTATATAAGCTGCAGAACCCAATGTAACTATATAAACTCTTTTCTGCATTGAATCAATTTCTCATCAGCGCTTTCGATTATTCAAAGTAATGGAAGAAACAGGAGAGGGTAACTGAAAATCCATGAATTGGACAGAGGAATTGTAGAGTTAGGTGACAACCTTAACCTCATCTACATAAAACTGTTGACATACAAAAATGAGGCCCAAATAAAATGGTTCAAGAAATGGAGCACGGTTAAGAAATTTGAAGGATAGGCCCAAATGAGACCATTGTGAAGTATAGTGGAGGCCCATAAACGGAGGACTATCATCGCCCAAGCCTACAGGACGCCTAGGATATGAGCGAATGAAATACCTTATTGTTGCTCGGAGCTACGATCACATTCTCGCCCAAGCCTTCAACCAACAAAAAAATAAAAGAGTGAAACTAGAAGAATTATACGAGAAAGAGATAATATAGAACCAACAAATTATTTAAACAATTAGCATTCGGGTCATTATTTAGTTTTACTCAATGATCTTTCATGGTCGTGAAGAAAAAACACGCTTTTGTGTAAAACGCATTTGGATAATGCTAATGAGTCTTGAGTAAAACTCAACCACGACGATGAAAGATCTTTAATCAAGTTTTAGTTTTACTCATCATTATTTTACATTCTCTATCTGATTTAACGTGAATAACACGCTTTCAATATTTTCTTCAATGAGTGACTTTTTTGTACAATTAAAACTTCGCTAGTGCCGTGGCATTACATCTTTGAATGCCGTTCCTACAAAATTGTTGACTTATGAATGCTGAACTTCGACTTCTATCATTCTGAGCCTTTTGCAGCTTTCTATATTTGTGTTTAGACACGGTTTACACACGCATTTGGTTCTTCATTAAAATTTGTGGAAGAAAATCATAGTTAGAAAAATCATAGTTAGAAAAATCATAGAATAATAAGAATAATACTATCTGTACATAATAAAGTTACATAATAATTTACATATAAATAAAATGTCAAAAAAGAGCAGAGAATTCTTTTTTTATTTGGTTGAAGAAATTTTGATTCAATCATATCTCATCACATCATGTGTTATTGTGTAAATCATTATATACATGTAACACAATCGAAATAATAATTAGACTAGACAACATAGAACATTAATATTGGGTGTGGCGATTGGTGACATATCTAGAAAGATGTCCCTATGAGGTCTCTCGGTACAACGAGCCAGGCTTTATTATAGTTGGTTCGGGTTGAGTTTGGTTGGGTTGAACCATTGAATTAACTATTCTAGATTGAATTATGTTATGTAAATCAATTTTGTACAAGTACATTAATCGTTCTAGATGTTTGATGCATTAGGAGGAAAAAAATAATTAAATTAGTCCAAAGTCAATTTTCCCTAGTCAGAGTATTGCATCCAAATTTTCTTCTTCCACGAAACATTCAAGATGAACAACCATATCAACCTTAATTAAATCGTAGTTACCAACCATTTCCGTGCTGCTCCGACACCACATCCAAATTCACAATGGGTTTAGATGATGATCTCAATGAAAAACCCTCTATTCATCGTAAAAGCAGTTACGATTTTAACAGTAAGATTATGCTCACAGCCATAGTTTCATTATCAGTTGTTGTTGTACTTGTCACAATCCTCCATATATATGTAAAATGTATCCTTCGCCGCCGCCAGGCCCGAGGACAGACCGGCATCTTCAACTTAGGCTTCGTCATAAGCGCTGCCCCAACCGAGCCACTGACAACCGGCCTCGACCCATCAGTCATGGCCTCCCTGCCTGTATTTGTGTTCAAGAAAACAAATGGAAATGATAATGATGATCAGATGGGCTCTTCAATGGAGTGTTCAGTTTGTTTGAGCATGTTGGAGGATGGTGAAATAGCTAGGACTTTGCCAAATTGCAAGCACACTTTCCATGCAGAGTGCATAGATAAATGGTTTAGTTCAAACTCAACTTGTCCTGTTTGTCGCACAGAGGCTGAACCCAGGCTAGTGGTGGCCGAGGCAGCTGACGGCACAGCTGGAGTGGGAGGAGCACTACCTTCAGCTCCACCACTGGAAGGGAGGTCATCCTCGTTGGGTGGTGGAACACAATCATCAGCCAGAATTAGTGGATCAAACTCAAGGTTAAGTTCATTCAGAAGAATTCTTAGTAGGGAAAGATCAACCGGGAGAACTAGATCATGTGGAGAAGATGGTTTACCAGATCTTGAGAGACAGTAATTATACAGCAATTAAGGTACAGGAAACCAGTACATGAATATAGATATTAAAATATTTAGTCATTCTATACGTTTATCACTGGGTTTTTGTGAAAATTAATGTGCGGTTGGTAAAATTGATTTTGAGTAATTTATTGTTTGCGTCTCAGAGAATTCTTGGGCCTGGAAAGGGGGTTTGTTCGTTGTAATTGATAATATAATTTTTTTAAGTCAAAATTAAAAATTAGTTAATTATTTTGAGAAAAAAAATGGGTTGTTCACGATCTGAACTAGCTAGGTAGCTATGCATGCTGTCAAACTTAAATGCAACTTCTATTAAAAACTACCAGCAGATTGAGACATCAAATGGAACTAGAGAGACTGCAGCAAAATTGAGATTATAAACTAACACAGAAGTGACGTGGAGATCAAAGAAACAATCAAGACAGAAATATTTTGCTTCTATCCGGGAACAAAATTCAGTTAAAAAGAAAACTTATATTTTCTTCTGTATCTTCAAATACCTAGGAGTTCCAGGATGTTGCAGATGGGGACATGTGATGGCAACGATATAGCTATTAACGTCTACTACACAACAAAAAAAAATTCCTTGTACACGCTCATCCATCATCCAAACCAAAAGCTTAACTCCGATTAGTACGGGTATTGTACTTATATTACATAGGACCACACCCAATGGGATGTCTCAGTTCTTGAACTCAATTTCTAAACTTTGAATGCGTCTCTTCTCGCCAAAAAATACACATATCATGAATTTCAGATGCCAAGAAACCCATTAAATCAGAAATAATAAAGTGATATTGTTCACCAAAGCATGAAAAATAGTAGAAGCAGGCACCCAATGACCGGAGTTTGAGACAAGTAAACTGAAACATGCTCCAAAAGCCAACAAACAGGAAACAGATTCCACATTTGAAGGGAAAATTACAACAAAGAATTATATCAGGTTAAATGGAATTGGATCAACAATAATTATGATTTAACTAGAGATCAAAAAGAAGTATATAGGTAATATTTCATTGATCAAACCAATAACCATTAAAAAGCTATTGAATCTTTTCAAATGAAAGCCTTTGCTTTTGCCCATTTTTTGATACGTACAAAATACAAATAATCAAGAACTGCTCCCATCAGAAAATTAATATGATCCCAAATAATAAAGGAAGTGTGAATAATCCTCGATGCAATCTGTTAATATTAGAATGACTGCTAGTCAGATCTCCATTAGCTTGCCCTGCAGTCACCGACCCTGTAATGCCCACGTTACTTGTGCTTAAGCTGCACAACCATACATAAGTAAGTGCTGAGATCAGTAATCTAAAGAAGTGAATCGTCATTTTTATTGGTAAGACATGAATCGTCTTTGAAAAAAGCAGGAAAACAACATCGCAATTGATCCCATAGTGTCATATATCATAGAATTAAGGTACCTGTCCAGATTATTGTGCATTTACTGACTATAAGTTTAATTCACCTTATCGTATATGAATGTTGAAGATAATTTTCATAGTCCAGTCTTCCTCCCTTTACATCCTCTGATGCTAGTATGTTTTGGAGGCGCACAAACAGGGAAGAACGAAGAAAGGGACTGAACTGTAAAAACTATCTTCAATAATGAACCTATCCACAATTCTTAGTTTTTCCATATCCACATAGAGCACGGTGTCATACGCCGATACGCATCAATTAAAATTAAGTCACAATGCACAACCTATCTTGAAATGATTTTTTTTTCAACTATACATTGATAAATAAGCATAATCACACTGTTTTTGTTCCTTTTAGCCATGAATTAGCAAATTTAAGCATTGATCCCTGTATTCTTTTAATAATTGAACAAAATCCAATCATAACAAACTAATGATTTGAATAAAATTATCATAAAAAGTACACAGGATATTCTCACAAAAAAGCACCCAGAACCATTGAGATTCATACAACACTTTTTCCAATAAATTACCTTGATGGAAATTTGCAATTGCTGTGACCTGAAAATCAGCAACACAGCCAAATTATTAAAAAAATAAAATAAAATCAAAGATTGACTCAAGAATATATATACTGTACTCACTAGGGTTAAGAGAAGTGAGAGCGGCAGTGTTACTAAAATTGCAGCTATCCTCTGTAAGGCCATGCTTGAGAAAGTAGTCATTGAAGGCATACGACGCCGTGCGCTGGATGTCCGACGAGTCGTAGCAGGGCCCATTATTCTGAATGAGTCCACAATCCGCTCCTCCGGGCCCACATGCCCAGTCCAATGCTGATTGCAGGGCCGCATCCTCAGCGTTATTCTTGGCCACGCACCACAGTTCCACCGTCGCCGCCCCTCCGCCGCCATGGGCCGCAAAAGAGGCGGAGATGAGTGAAAAGAAGAAAATTAGAGCACGTGAGAAGATTCGAGAAGCCATTTTTGGGGAGAGGGAGAGGCAAGTGGAAAGTGGGAACAAATGGAAGAAACGTAGCCGTTAAGAACAGTTTTATATGTTTTTGTATTGTCATATACTGGGATTTTGACCGTTGGGTAATTTTACAGCAAGTCGGTGTCGTTTTATTTTTTCTGTTTTTTACTAATTTGATTTTTCAATCTTTAATCTGAATCTAGTGTCGGAGTAAAAAAATTGGCACAAAATTATTAGGAACATTTTTTTAGGAGAAATAGTAGTGAATCTTACGGAATCTGTATAAATTCATTGTAGTTTGACCGAATTAATATTTGTCTATGACTAAATAGAAAAAAGGAATTATGGACATAAAATAATTAAACAAATTTACAGCAAAAAGGGCTTAGTTTTGTAATCAATTTTCCGATCAAATTATTAACTTTTCGTTACTTCTTGGCAAGGACTTGAACCTAACCATGGTTAAGAAACAATACTTGTGTGCGTGTGTTGAAAATGTCCATTTATGGGTGGTGGAACGCTCTGTGCTTTATTCGCACACATAGTTCAGACTGTTCATTTCTGGAGGTGGTACGTTCAATGCATTTTTTGTTTAAAGAGAAGGGTGAGGAATTCAAAACGACTGAATTCCAGCTATATTTATCATTTCAAATCCGTCATTTCCCTACGACTAGGACAAGAAGGGTTGCGCTTCCACAACCAGCGGCTGCCGGCCATTGAATCATAATGGAAAACAAAGAAACCCCAACCAATCAACTCGACCCACAACCAAAATGCGACCGGAAATCTATTCCAACAATGCTAGAATTCATTCACAAGCAAGAAGAACCAGGAGGAGGAGGAGGAGGAGAAGAAGAGGATGTCCTGGAGATGCATGGGGTTCCGGTTCCACCAATCACATCCCTGCCAGTGTCTGTTTCTGACGTTACTCCAGTGAGACCCTTCCGCAGACCCCACCGAGGACGGAGTTCCAGCAGCAAGCGTAAGAGGGATAATCCAAACATCGAGAAACAGCAAGCCATGTTGAAAAAGCTGCAATTTTTGATGGAAACATTGAAGCCCGTACCTTTTATACCCCCTAAGATTCTTTATTTTTCTAAGCATGAAAAGCTTCTTAAGAAAATTGGTTTGTGGGACTTTGTGCATATTGATTTTGATACCAATGTAAGGGTAGACTTGATTGCGCAGTTGGTGGCTACCTATGATTCAAAATTGCGGTGTTGTTATGTTAATAAATTTCGTATTGCTGCAAATAGAACTAATTTAGCTCGTGCATTAAAGTTGCCGGTGAAGAGGGTGAAGGGTAATGTGGGTGGGGTGAACGGTGTGGACTTGGGTTCCGAGGTATTGGATGAGGAGGAGACAGAGTTTATTGAAGAGATTTTGTACGATTGGGTGATTTTGCATGGCGACATGTGGTCGATACCAAATGAGGTTTTGAGTTGGGTAGGGAGGATAAAGGATGGGCACCCTGAGGATGTAGATTGGGCTGGATTGTTTTGGTTTATGGTGGAGAAGGAGTTGACACAAGGGGAGCAGTTGATTGATTGTTACTATGCTTCACATTTGCAGTATTTAATTAAGTCGCAGCATGAGGAAGTGTTCGTGTTGAGGGATGCGGTGGCAAAGGAAGAAGAAGAAGATCGGAACAATGAGGTAGATGTGAAGGTCGGTGGTATAACAGAGGTTCGGGAAGTGATGGAGGGAAGGAGTATGGAGCTCACACTAGGAGAAAATGTTGGGAACAAGGAAGAAGAGGTGAATAATATAGAGATGATGGATGCTGGGGAATGCAAGGACAAGGATGTAGAGGAGCAACGGAGGTGGCTTTTGGATGGGAAGAAAAATGTGGGAGAGCATTACATGAAAAGTACTAGTGTCGAAGAGGGTTGGAGGTGTAGTCTCATTGATGATGAGAAGGAAACGATTGAGAAGGCAGCAGAGGATGTATTTAATATTAATTTTTTGTCGGATGATGATGCTCATGAAGGCGATGGACTGACAGGTAATTTACTTCAAGCCATGGTGGGGAACCACTTAGATTTCAGTGCACAGGGGCAGCTTTGTGAACCGTCACCAGTGGATCTTAATTCTGATGTGCTGGATTTGGCTTCTGTTCCATCATTTTCTAACAATGCAGGCAAACGATTTATGGTACAGGACAATGATATTTCACAACATTCACTCGAGGATAATAAGAACAAGAGGTTGATGATCAACAACTCCTGGGATCATAAGCCAGTTAGTTTTGGAATGTGCATGGAGAAAATGCAACAATCAGCCGAAAGGTTCAATTTGATGTATAAGGAGAAGGAAAAGACTCTGCAACAATTGGATAGGAATCAACAGATCTTGCTGAATGAGTTACAGGAACGGGATATGATGATAAAACATTTGCAAAAGACCAAGTTGGAAGAGATACGGACAAGAGATGGAGAACTTTATCGTCTTCAACGTGAGCTGCACTTAATGTCTAGTATCTTGGATGGTTACAAGAAGGCCATGAAGGAAACTCAGGAGGCATTTGCCGAATATAGGAAGAAATCCCAACTTCCTGAAGAACCATATTACATAGATGCTGGATTTGGGGGTCTGATGTTGAGCGCTACAGAAATAGAGAAGCTTCACAAGAAACAAGAAGAAGAGTATACATTGAATTGTTTAATCTTGGAACAGAAGGCGAAGGAGGCTGAAGAGAATTGTGCTGGTCGTTTTGAAGCATATCTTGAGAAGGTTAATTTGTTGGACAAGAAGTTGACAGGTATTGAGACTGTTACGAAGGAGCTCACTGAGTCGTATGCTAAACAGAAAATGAAGAAAAAGCTTCTGCATTCCTGAAGTCATTGGGCGTTTGGATGATATAATATTCTGATAGTTGGCATTTTAAGGCTTAGGAAGTTTGAATTGTCAATAGCTCGAAGCATATCTTATGGGTTTTGGAAGACGTAGAAATGAATAGGCTTGTGGACAGTAGACTTGTTATCATTTGAAAACTAGCAATTAGGATTTACTAATTCTATTGAAATAGCAATCGAACTTTTATTTAAGTATGCATGTTCATTTTTTGGATTTGACTCGTGTTATTTTATTTGAGCCAGGCCTCGGGGGTTTCAAGTGACACTTCGAATGAAGTGAAATACTGGAATCATCAACGGCTGTTTTACTAGGGAGGACTAGAATTAGAGTTCAATCCTTATTCCTTCTGTTTAGTAGCAGAAATCAGAATGAAATTCGAGTTCCAGTTGAACTGGGATTCCATGGTTGTGTTGAGATCCTTATAGGTGGTGGCCGCCACACAGAAATTTTCTATCCAGTGTCTGTGGTTCTATGCAACTTAGCACTTGTTTAATCAGAGGTATTTTCTTGATTCATGTGATGTCTACTTACATTACCGAAGTTTTTCTTGATATAAAGAAGTATATCAGGTGAGCATTGACAACAGTGTGCCTCCCTCGAGTTGCACGATAACCTTTAATTCACCTTTTTGCCATTTTTCAGCAATATCAAGAGTGATACTGTCGAAACAAGCCCTAAAGTGGTCGTGCAAAATCACTTCTTGAAAAATCTCTATCAAATGACCCCTCAAGTGGTCATGAAGACCTTACCTGTGGTGCAGGCTTGAATGTCCATAACTCAATTAAGTATTACAAATCTAACAATCCCAATTGCACTGAACCTTGATTCAACTAAGTACAGTCAAAGATGAATATTTACATATTTACTTTTCCTTTTCTTGAAAAGAACAAATAAAGAATACCACACACATGGAACAAAAGACACTGAAAAAAGGTCATGAAAACAAACTCCCAACATAACCCACTATCACTTGTCATCCTTGAAATAATTCAGAAAGAATAACAAAAAGATTATGATGACTGGTAGACAAAAAATTAACCACACTCATCTATGAATAAAAAAATAATAATAAAAAGAAAACCAAAACAAAAACAAAAAAGAAAAAAGAAAAAAGAAAAAGAGAAAAGGGCTTCTTAATAATAAATGAGTTTCCATGAATGAATTTTTGCAGGCTCCTCTTCAATTAGAATTTTCCTCCAGTAATTTGAATTCCTGTATGATTGAGAAACAAAGTATAAATTTCAATGAAATTATCTCCAATTTTTAATTTCAAGATTGAAATTTATTGTTGTTATACATATACATCATGTTTGGTAAGCAATGGTAAGACACGAGTCCACGTTAGCTCTTTTTTTGTTATCTAATACTGTCATGTCGAGTCCTGTTTACTAAACATGCATATATATGAGAAGAGGACAAGTACCTTAGCAATAATGGCTCAGTTGACAAGTTCTTCAGCAGGCCTTGGTGGTGACTTTGGGGTACCATTTTCAGTCTTCTTGAGATTTTGATGATAATATATTTGACTCAATCTCTCTATTTCCTTCTTCAAAGCTTCTTGATGAGCTAGTTTTACACAAGTAAAATCTCAAATTTAATGATTTGCCTTCTATTGAACAAAACCTTGACTGTCCAAATTTTCTTTTGAGAGGTTGTTTAATTCTCGGTAAGTAGATAAAATAATTCGTTGAGGACACATCTGGTAGAGTACTGATGAGGTTTGAACTTGTTTTTCTTATCAATCAAGTACTGTCGAGTACAGCATAAATTCTTACCGTCTTTGAAGAGTTTATCTTGAGCCAAAGCTGCTATTCTTTGCTTGAGAACACTGTTATCCACATTCAACACCAAGCGTTGGTGGTCCAGAAAAGCAACCCTTGGGGATAATACTGAAACTTCAGCCTTCACATCAATCCAATGATGCAAGTTAAATTAGTTATGAAAACTTAATTATTAAATTTTCTGAAAAATTCATGTAGCACAATCAACTAACTTGAAGTGTGTTAACACTGCGTTCTAGCTCGGATATGTACTGTAATTTCCTCACTCGGGACCTTTGCGCAGATTGCCGATTAGCCAAGATTCTGATATTTGATCAGACAACAATGAGAATTAATCAGAATTTGTAATAATTGCATTTCAAATTCTTGATGTAGTAGTAAAAGAATGTTGTTACATGATAAAAATTCTGGTCGAGAACTCTGGAGTTCAGTATATCAAACATGTGATAAGAAGTTTTATATCGATGATTACCTCTTGATCCTTTTTGGATCAGAAATCTTCTCATTTGAATTATCTGCAGTTGCATGTTGAGCATTTTGTTCCTGAGATTTGCATGAGCTATGCACCTCCTCAGGTTCACTCTTTGGCTGCTGTACCTGTTGATCAGATGGACCTTGTTTATCATCGTTAATGCTGTTGTGATCAGACGGAGACGAAGGACTCGAAGGCGACAAAGTGGGCCCCATCACAACATCATCGGTGAACATAGACATAAGCTGATCATCATCAAACCTCTCAAATTCACTAGCATTCCCAGAACCAGCAGCTATAGATGATCTTCTGCATTCTTGCACCATAGGTGCTTCAAGAAAAGCAATCGACTCACTAATAGACCTCCTGTGGCCACGACGTCGGACAGACGAGAAGTCGAGAAATTCATCAACCCACGAAGGATCTTGTGGAGTGGGAGCATTATTTGTTGCCAAATTTTCCATGGAAGACATCTTCTGGTGAGATAAATCATGCCAATTTTGTGTCACGTTTGGCACTTTTGGAGGTAAACTGTGTGCCATTAATTTCCAGAATCTATGAACAAAGAGCAAAGCTAAGACAAACCTAACCAAACTACATTTTGTACACAAGAGGGCCTTTTATACTAAAAATCTGAAGGCATATTAGAAATGAAGAATGGAAGACAGCCACAAAAGCTGTGAGATATTATTTAAATGAATACACGTCGTTCCTTTAAACTTTAAGACGAGATGGTTAACTCAATATGTTCGTGTGGGTTCAAATCTTGTGGCGATCCATTTACGAAAACTCTGCACATATCGAAAAATGAATCTAGTCTACATATGACGTGACAAAGACAAGATTTAAACGAATACATTTAACCTCTTAATCTAACTAGTAAAACTTTTAGATGAAATACTTAACCACGAGAAAATCGAGGTCTAGTCTTCCCAACTCTCTCTATTCTTTCTTTGTTTCTCTCTCACACGCACAACACACACTAGCATGGTGGGGTCACATGGGTGGGGACTAGATTAGGACAGCTATCAACAGCTGGTAGGGGAAGTTGAGTCCCAACGGTTTTACTGGGAAAGTTGCAATTTCTTTATTAACTAAGTGGAATCAGAAACCACGTGCCATTGTGGCCTCCCTGCAACTTATAATAATATAAAATTTACATGGTGATTTATAACATTCCTCTGCATCCAGTCTACCTGCACTCCGTTGATCATGGCAGTTGGATTAAAGGTGATTGATATGGATCACATGGCTATCATCCTTTGATCAAATTACTGTCTGACCATCAATTTTGCCATTTCAAAATCAACATGTTCTTGAAAATATAGCCGTTATTAGGTCTCACTCATCTAATAAAAGTCAATTCCAACGGCTATATTTTCAATTTTAATATGATTTTAATCTCTCTCAAACAAGCTCTTAGGTTATACTATTATGTACTATAATGTATATGTATTTTAAAAACGTGGGACTACAGAGAAGAAGCTCATAAAATGATATAAGTATTGTCTCAGTTCAATTTAAGAAAACTTGTTCAACAACAAATGTATTAAAAATAACTTAAAACTAAAGATTTCGACTCCTTAGGCTCGGCTTATCACAAACTTGTATGCTTCACTTGTTGATCGATAAATTGTGATTCTTCTACTACACACATCTATGTAGCTATAAGTAACAAATATTCAACTAATTGACGCAAAAGGCGTTATTATGAATTATTGAAGAATTTTTAATAAAAGTTTTTGAAACATTTATTGAAGTTATCTGAGAGTTTTACGGTTTATTCTCTTTGTTGTTTTTAAACCATTTTCAGTTTTCAATTTTCGAAAATACGGAAAACATGTTTACTTACCTATTTTCAGAATGAATTTTCAAGAGAAAACGGAAAACGCTACAAAAATCGTTTTGGCTGTTTTCAGTTAAAATCAAGCCAAAACTTCATTTTTTATTTTTGAAAACAATTTTTCAAAGTGATAAAAAGAACGCTTCTTCAACAATCTCAAAATGGACACTTAAAACACAAAATTCAAAACTAAAAATCGAAACACGAANGAGGAGCATTATGTATTCATAAATTTGTACAATGTGATTGTCTCAACATTATTGCATTGCGCAAGCATATATATTAGACAAACAGAGTACATATATATTCAATGAATTGTGTTCAATTAATAATACGCTTGAGCATACATAAATTTTTATGCATCCAACATTTTAAATACGACACAATCTAGATTTTTTACATACAATTTGAATTCTCATCGGTCCTTGCTCTGATTGAACAATACGTGATTGCTGAAAAACAAAAGAATTAAAATCTTAAATAAAAATATTTTGTAAAGACTATATGAATTCTTCAAATCTCGTTCGGTGTGAATACATACACACTCATTACTAAAAAAATTTCATATTTTGACGAACCATATACCGTTGAAAAGCTCTATCAGTTCACTCCCATATGGAAGAAATGGTTTTTCGTACCCATAACATCGAATGGTTTGATTTGTAGAGTTATATTTGTAATGGTAGACAAGGAGAATAGTTGAATATGTAGGTTTTAGAAGGATGAGCTGTGGAAAGTGAGAGTGCTTGAAAGGGATCATGTGTTGCCATGTGAAGTGTTTGCGTGGCCAAAGCCTCCTTTTCTTTGTCTCCAATCCATACCCACATGTAGGGCATGTGTCCTTTATGCTCTCTACTTCTATGCACCTTCCCTAAACAAGAATTTATGCCATTTATTATTGCACTTAATCATCATTAGAGGACATTTCTTAATTAGTAATTAGAGTAAGGTTTGTCTCTCCACCACTTAATTTAATAACACAATTTGGTGTGTAATAATAGAGGTAGGGAATGAGATTTTAATTTTTTTTTTTTTAATATCATCCAACAATGATTAAAATCTATTTTATGAAAAAAGAAAAAAAAAACCATGAGAGTATTTTCTTTAATTCTTGCTCAAACCTTAGCATGTTTGGATCGAGTTCATGGCAAGTGGAAACCTCGATTATAATAGTCGACTTACAAAAATATTGAATTTAAAGGGAAAAATATGAAATCGAACCTATTTGATTAGATTTTTGGGTTGAAATTCAACCCGACTTTTGCCCACCTCTATATTTATTTGGTGAACTAATCTTCCTACAGTTACAACGTATTAAATTAACATGTCTAACAAGGTAGTGTAGACTGAATTATTGTTAGTTGTAATTCTAGTGATGAATGATAGGGTAAACACGGCTCGATTTGGACGATTTGTGATAAATTTTCAAATCAAACTAAGCGGCCAAATCAAACCATACTACTACATAGGGAAATTGGATTGAATTAAAATACAAAGTAAGCAAATTTCTTATTAGGCTTTTGTTTGAGCTCCATTTTTTGTTTAAAAAAAAAGTAATTTTAGAATAGTATTTTTTGGAGAATGTGGTTTTAATGTATGTAAAAGTTTTGGATTTATGTGTAAAATTATTTTATTTGAAGAATGTTTGTGGAAAAATGAGTTTTGAAATAACGAGGCACAAAAGGGGACTAACTAAAAATTAACTAAATGTAAAAAAATTCTTATAAGTAACTTGAAGTAAAAAATTCACTTGTATGTAAAAATACATGAATGCAGAAAAATTACTTATACGCAAAAAAAATTACTTATACAATCACTTTTAAGTATAATAGTTATTTTTAACTAAACAACTGACTTACAAGTAAAAAAATCACTTATAATTAAATTACTTGTACATAAAAAAACACTTACGAGTAAATTTACGTATAGGTAAGAAAAGTTCACTTATACACAATTTATTGTAATAAATCAAACGATGTATTAGAGTAGCATACTAATATGCTAGTACAATAAATATAGTTCACATCCCATACCGTTCTAATATGGTTGTGTTTGGTACATTAAAGCTGTGTTTGAACCACATTAAAATTTTCATTCTCATTTTTCTACTCATTAACCACACATTCTTCAATAAAATAATATTTTCCATCACATTAATAACTTTTCCTTCTTTTTCAACTACACATTCTCCATCAATCTACTATTCGAAAATGATGTGGCTCAAACACATTAGACTATACAATGAATTAAGTATAAAACTAGTGTATGAAGAAAATATTAGGATGGATGAAGATGAATACTTTTTTTTTTTCCAATTTTTTTCCCAAATGAATGATATTTGCACTATCTTTGTTAAACTAATTGGATAAACGGATAAAATAATATGCACTGAGAATGTGGGTTTAGGTCAGATAAGAAATATATGACTGATAGCATTCCTTTGAATTAAAAACTTATATATATTATCTACCTAACACTGTCTTTTCTAATTTGGTGTATAAATTTTTTGTGCAGTCACTTTTGATACTACGAATTCATGGAAGGACAACTTCTGAGAGGGAACACTTGTGATTTAAAGAAAAGAAAATATAAGAATAATGTCTTTTAGGCTGTCTGAAATGGTTCAAATCTTCACAAAATTCTTAAAAATATGTTGAGCTAAATTTTGAAGTCATGTTTGACAACATTCATAATAGAAATTCTCCAAATTGATTGTTAAAAGTCTTAAGTAAACAAAATTAAGTAATTATATCCAAATCCAATCTCAATATTACATGAGAGATATGGACACAAGTCTTTAAGTAATCTTATGCTAGACTCCTTATCTATCATGCTCTATAATGAGCAATTCCCAATAATAAAATCTTCAGTCAAGCGACATATAAATGCAAGGCAGGGGATAAAGATAGGATGGACCGAGTCCCAGAGTGGCATATTCCATTTCTAGGTTATCATGGAGAAATTGACCCACATTAGGAGAGCTATAAACCACAAGAATTTCAGTTCAGATAGACTTCATTCAAGAATGCCACCAATCAGTAGGAAAACAAGTGCTGATTATGCTAGCAACCTACCCAATTTATGTAGAAAACTTTTGGATCGATGATTAGTTTACAGCGTCATCAGCACATCACTGAATTAGAAGCAGTTCATATGTACATGAACGACCTTAACGAATATAGCCAGAAGGCATTTCAATGATTACACTTCCAAGCTAATCCCAAGAGGAACTTGTAATTTTTCTATTTAAGTCACTGAGCAAGTTCCTTGCTGGTTACAATTACCAAAGTTTCTTGTTTCTATTCTAACTATGGGAATGATTAAGGTTCTTTTCATTTTTATTAAAGGCAAAAAGGTCATGAGATGATCAATTGGACTATAAGTAAGATATATGTTGAGATAAAGATATCGTGTGTGGGGTTGTATGAAGTTTGAAATATTGATTGGTGGTAGTCATGATTTAAAAAAAAAATGCTGTAACGAGACATGGCTCTTGCTTAAATTGTCTGATAGATCTGTCTGCACCAATAAAACTATTAAATGATTTTTGAATCTTAATAAATTTCCCATCGAGATGTATCGTAGAATCAAATCCATGTAACAAACAGTATAATTTGTTCCATTTCTAAGATTATAATGGGAAAAGTAGAGAAGTGCAAGAAATGTTCCATTACTGCTGAGGTCAAGGATGTGCATGCAGTAAAAGCTATAGTTTTATTTTAAAAATGGCAAATCACTACATTCCAGTAATTCAACATCATGGCACTTAACATGTGTACTAAAAACTGTATAGAACAAGAGCAGGAATACAACACCTCATAGTTGATTCTGGTTCAACTCCAAATGCTATATGGCCTGATCATTACAGCAGTTGCGGAGGGAATTGCTCTTCGAATTCAGGTCGTGGCTAAACCAATTACGAAACTAAGATTTCAATTGTACAAATCTCTGCCTCACAACAGAGGCGAGCTCTGATTCACCAACACTAACCAATCCCTCTACAAGCTTTTGCCTCAATCTAATGTATGGTATCAACCCCTTCTCAGTCATTCGAATAGCAAATTTTCCGGCCAAAACAAACTGACGGCATTCTAAGCAACCCTCAAGCACCGACTCATAGTCCTCAAACCCCATATACACATCTTTGCTTTCTAAAAACTCGATCATCTGAACAGCTCTCCATATATCTCTGTTGGCACGCATTGCGGCCAATGCTTTCACCACTATTTGCTGCCTCGGAAGCAACCCCAGTATTACCATATCCTTTAGTAGTTCTACAACCTCATTTATCATTCTATGCTCGCTCAATTCACCAATTATAGTTCCATAACTATCCAAATCGGGAAAGCAACCCGCCCGGCCCATGCCCTTCAAGACATTAATTGCCTCATTCAACTGATCGACCTTACACAGGGACAAGATAAGATAATTACAAGTCCCACAATCCGGAGAATACCCAATTGACTGCATCTCGAGCAGTATGCTCGAAACAGATTCAGCTCGTTTTCGCCTTGCAAGCCATGCATTTGAAAGAAACAGATAAGTTTGCGGGACAGGAAGACAGCCAGAACGAAGTGTACGTTGGATAATTGCCAGAGCAAGTGGAAGCGGATTTGGGCTCTCCAGAGTATAAGAAAGTAGACAGGAATAGGCAATCCGAGGCCGCGAACGTGGCCTTGTGCAAATGAAAGACTGTAAAATTTCATCAATGATATGGGCTCTATGGTTTTCAGGAAATTTCGATAGGAACGAAAACGGATTTGGATTTCTGCAAGAATCTTTCGCTGCACTGAGAATGTCAGGTATTTGTTCGTAAGCTTCGACTTTAATTGCTTCTCTTAACGATTCCTGGAGCTGCCTGGATGAAGAGACAGAATGAAGTAAAGAAAACTGGAGGAAATATCGGCGCAAAGGAATTAAAGAACAAATCTTTTTTGTTGCCATCATTATCATCAAATTCTATCAAGCACAAATGAAAAATTCATTGAGTAATATCATCGAACAGGTGCTGGCTGGGTGATGAATTGGAGAAATCAGTTTACTAAAAGCACTGAGAACTAATCAAACCTATCGATAGCGCCCTTTCTTCATTAATTCAATAAATAAAAGAGGCAAATGATTGGTTAAAAAGACAAAAATGCAGGAAAAGAAAACCAAAATTATGGCGGGAAAGGGGTGGTGGGTGGGCCGTGGGCGAAGGGCGAGGGCTGGGGGAAGAGTATTGCCATATTGGGGTCAAAAGAGAAAACTAGTTACCTCATCTATAAATTATTTATAGGGAGGTTCTACCGCCCTGTTTGGTGGGGATTCTCAAAATTTTACAGTAAATCAATTCTTATTTTCAACTACACATTCTTTAATAAAATAATATTTTTCATAACATCAATAATTTTTTCTTCTTTTTCAACCATACATTTCCTATCAGATCACTATTCAAAATCAATTTTTCCCTCAAAAATTCCTCCCAAACAAACACTAAATGTTTCAAATAAATTATAGACGTATCTTTCAAATTATATTATTGTCTATCCGTGATTCTCGTGTATATGGTTATTAGCGAGGTAAATTATTGATGTTGGGTCTTAAATTGAAAACATGATTTTATTAGTGACGGTACATTTTCGTGAGCAACGTGTGATATGGCCGCTACAATTGACTGTAAATTGTTCGAGAATCGGCAAGCGTACAATTGATTTTTGAGAAAAATTAAAGAAACACATGAAGGGTAATTTCTTGCCATTTGATTATTCCTAAAATTTCACAACTTATGACGAGGGGCACAAATGGTAGTGGACTATCATATAGAACCTTTTCGACTATTGTCTCGTAATGTTCTCTCCCTTGACTTAGAAACAATTTGATTGTATTGACCTTATATATAAGCCACTACAAAATGAGATCTCTCTCCCGAAGAGAAAACCATAGCTAAAGAACAAAAATATTACATTATAATTATATGTTTTAGTACACAATATTCAACAAGAAGGAATTAACATGAAAATAGAAAGTAAGTTAAAATTGTTAATCATACCGTCCAACCCGGTTTAGTACTGTTCATTAAACATGAACTAATTATATACTTGTAACAAAGTATTGTTGGTTAAAACCACCAGACAAATACTGTTCAGACATAAGAGCTGAATCATTGTCTATTTCTCCTCTTAGTTTATCAGTTTCTTGAATATGATGTGAAGAATAAGAGTAAGCACAAAAATCTATCATAGAATCACAATTATTAGGAACATTATTCAGAAAATTATTATTAGCGTTGTTGTTATTTATTCCCGAATCATTAAAGCTCATAAACTTGTTATTGTTCCACCCCATTAGCCCCTGTGCTGCCGCTTTATACACTATACTCCCTGGATTTTGGACTTGATGAATTTGTTGGTATTGGCTCTTGTACCACCTTAACTCCTCAAAAACTCTTCTGTATTCTCCGTAAGGACCGAACATTGGATCCTTTTGCCAGCAGAAGGCTTCCCAGACGAGTGAATCTACAGCGTGTTTTCGATCTTCTTCCTTGAGATTCATGACTATTTTAGTTACGTTGCTCACACCAAAAACTTTATGCACTGCTTGGAATTCTCGGATTTTATCGACGGGGAAGAAGGTTGCCAATATGCACTTTTCAGTGCACTTTTTTCTTTGATGCTTGCACGATGCACATGCAGATGTACCGTTAGTCCTTTGCATCTTAAAAATCAAATCGAGAGATTCAAATAAAGAAGACAGAACTGTATTTTTATGGGATTTCAATGCAAAAGTTGATGTAATGAAGAGAATATAAATAAATAAAAATCACATGTTGTGAACACTTCATTTATTTGAAAAGAATGAAAAGAGTGCCTTTAGAAATAAGACTAAGTAGCAAACTAGTATTGAAGAAACTGTTGTATGGAGAGCATGGAAAGATGGCCACAAGATTTGTAGTTAAGGAATTCATTAATATGGGAATTTGGAAACAAGCATGGAGATGACACTTTACTTCGGGCACATTAATTAATAGATAATTCGTACTTTTTTAGTAACACTAAATTTTTACTCAAATTCTCGTAATTCAAAGATAATTCTTGATACCCATATTCATACCTCTTTACAAGTACATCACCATTGCACAATCAATTGCGACACACACAACAAAAATCCCTGTTTGGAGAAAATTAAAATTTTAATTTTAATTTAAGTCAAAGTCAAAAATTAATTTTAATCGCATATTTCATGGGTTTCACAACTTTTCAACAACACATTTCCTCACAAAAAATTTCATAGACCTAAGAAATACATAAATCTTGAAAATTTTAAAAATCATATTATCAAACACAGATAGAGAGTTTATTTATTGCACATGAAAATTTTAATAAAAAAACGAGATGTATTAAATAAAAACTAGAAATATTTCAAATATTATGAGTCCTATCATACATATTATACTGTGGTTTGTTGTGCTGTAATTATTAGATGTCATAAAAACACGTTACTAGTCGAGTGTTATCAATTGATGCAATCTCCAGACACATTATAGAGAAGTATTCTAAGTTCCCGTTTGGTGGTAATTAAAATTAGATTTTTAGTAAATTTTAATAAAAATTAATGAAATGTGTGATTGAAAGTTATGGATCCCATAAAATATACTGTTAAAATTAGTTATTAACTTTGATTTAAATCAAAATTTGAATTTGAATTTCTATTAAACAATGACTTAATGGATATATATGAAATTGGTTTTGTTCACATCACACTTTTTCGTTTGGAGTCTAGATTGTGTCTCAGTCCCAATTTGGGGGTGGGCAAAACCCAAACTAACCCGCCTAAACCGTCCAAACCGACCCAATCCAAGAAAATCGATTTAACCCGACCCAACCTACTTAGTTAAAAAAAAAAAAAAAAA